CCCTCTCTGTCAACCAGGTCTTCACATTTTCCCTCCCTATCAACCAGCTCTTCACATTTTCCCTCTCTATCAACCAGATCTTCACATTTTCCAACTCTATCAACCAGGTCTTCACATTTTCCCTCTTTGTCAACCAGAGCTTCACATTTTCCCTCCCTATCTTCAGATCAGCTTAAATATCACCTCCTCAAAAAGGCTTCCATGACACATCATCTGAAGCGGTCCACTAAGAATTGAAGATGTCCAATAACAACTGCTCCAAAGGGGGCTATGCTTAGGACCCTCACTGCTGGCACCATTCCAGTATATCATTGTGTTTTATTTTCTGTATTGCTCTTCTCTCTATCCTAAGCTCTTAAAACAGAGTCTGACAACAAATATAAGTTAAATGAATGACTGTTAACATCTTAGTAAATTTACTTCCAGCATCTTTCCAAAAAGGTACTTTTTACATAGGTGAGATGAAATCATGCATATAATTTTCTGTCTTCCTTTTGCCATCTAATATTATATTTAAGCATTTCTTCAGGAAGTTAAAAGTTCTTTACAACCCACTGTTTTATGAATTCAGGACAACTTATCATAAGGAGAGATGATAACTATGTTAATCACTCACTTTGTTAGGTAGATAGGTTGTTTCTACAATTTTTATTATTTGAGTGAATACAACAGTAACATATTTAAGCAAAAATATTAGTCTATAACTTTGAATCTACACTAAAACTGGATTTAATAGGTTAAAAAGGTAAGCTCTGTTTAGGCAACCAGATTTTTTTTTTTATCAAATATCTTCTCAGAAGACTGCAATAACTTATAATCGTCTAACAGTAAACCACTCAATCATTAGCAGCTTTCATATTTTCTTCAGTATTTGCTAATTTGACAGATAAAGTGGTTCATTTTTAAAATTGTCGCTCCTGATAACTAATGAATCTGGATATTTATTTAGCTCATCTTTGACTGATTAATAACAATATTATATCAACACCTATTTCCACAGGCTTACAAAGAGTTTGGCTGTATTAAAGCTGAAGACAGCAAGTAATACGGCTGTGAATTTTCTGCCCTAGAAAGAAAAGGAGTAAATCACCTGTGGGATTACAGCACTAGTACTATTTGCTTTTCTCTTACTTTGGGAAAGATGAACCTCCTTTATAGTGCAATTTTCAGGAAATGCATTGCACTTCCCCCTTGTTTTACACATAGGAAGTAATTTTCAGCATCATTGTAGCATCTTCCAAGATTGAGGCATTTTTAAATCATTGACAGATATTGTGAAGGTTCCATCATGGAGGTTTCATATAGCGGCTTTTGTTTTGCATTTTCCTGGACCATACTTCTGTTTAGAACCTACTATTAACTTCAGTAATTTAATTTTACCCCTCTCCTAAGAACAAAATCCATGCATGTGTCAGTAGCAGCAAAATAACATCACCTCTCTCTTCTATAGCTTCAGCTAACCTTTAAGCGAATCTTAAAATTTTCTATAACTGTCTTCCAAAACTAGGCATTTTATCCAATAATATCAAATTAGCATGTTATAGAGGGTGCTGCACAAATAGCCTACATTGATTCACAGATGACTTTAAAAATTCAGTGAGCCAAGAATCCCACATTATTGATTCATGCTAACAAAACGATGAAGCACAGCTAATCTTTACAACACATGCTGGGCAGAATGACATTTACAAATGCAGACAGACGGAAACCAATTGGACATAATTCTTTAAGGATTAAACTGATGGCTGCAATTAGACCTAAGAAGGTGAGCAGTCTCTCTGCTGGGAACTGAGGCTCAGCCTGCTGGGTTCAGCTCCAATTTTCTCTCATCCTTGGCTAACCATGGTATTCCATTGTTCCACTGACTGGCTAGTTGAGTTCCCCATGACTACTCAGGTTAACTAAATGAGTTTGAAAAATATGGCATGTTAACACTTTGACTTGCTTCTTTGACTGTTAATAACAACTGCTCCAAAGGGGGCTATGCTTAGGATCATCACAGTTTGATGCTATCAGTGTAGAATACCAGATGAGCCCAGTAAAGAACCTGTGGGGGTAGGGACAGCATATGGATATATCCCTTTGTATGTGTCTTGCCTTGTCTTTTCTTTTCTTTTCCTTCCTTCCTTCCTTTCCTCCTTCCTTTTCTTCCTCCCTCCCACCCTCCCTCCTTCCCTCCCTTCCTTCCTTCCTCCCTCCCTCCCTCCCCGCCTCCCCGTCTTCTCTCTCTCCTATCTCTCCTTTTTGAAACAGAGCCTTGCTCTGTTATCCAGGCTGGAGTGCAGTAGTGTGATCTTGGCTCACTACAATCTCCACTTCCCAGGTTCAAGACATTCTCCTGCCTCAGCCTCCCAAGTAGTGGAATTACAAACACACGCCACCACACCTGGCTACTTTTTGTATTTTTAGTAGAGACGGGGTTTCACCATGTTGACCAGGCTGCTCTTGAACTAACCCCATGTGATCCACCCTCCTTGGCCTTCCAAAGTTCTGGGATTACAGGCATGAGCTGCTGTGCCCAGCCTAATTATTTTTTTCTGTTTAAGGAAATACCTGGGCTTGACTGATAGCGCCTAGTCCTAGGAAACAAATCTGTCTGCCATTTCTGAGTAGTTTCAAGATTAGGCTGATAAACAGCACCCAAAGAACAGAAAAATCTAGTTGATAACCTTCAAAAGAATTCTGAGATGCGCTGGTGGTATAGTGGTAAGCATAGCTGCCTTCCAAAAGAATTTTGATAGTCTTAAAATTCATAATGACTCTGCTTATTAGAAAAACACAACAGTGATGGGATAAGAAGTACTTTGCAGCCATGCAGCATACAGAAAGCACCCATGTTAGGAAATCAAATTCTGTCCACTTACAGTGAGGGCTCAATACACGCTATTATCTCCTACTTTCCCCATTCTACCTGCATCCAGCAGGATTATTTTGAGACTCTCTTGAGGTGGCTCAAGGAAGCTCCTAAAAGAGCCTACACCACATAGTCCTAAAAGAGCCTACACCACATAGTCCTAAAAGAGCCTACACCACATAGTCCTAAAAGAACTGCCATCCACATTTGATGGTTTCTTGGCTCACTCTCTCTTCCTCATCTTCTCACCACATTCTTTTCCTTCTCTACACTTTACTGTGCACTTACATTTTGGGAACCAACAAGAATACACCCAAAGAGAAGCTCCAGGAGAGGTGCAATTTCAGGGACATGGAATTAGCATTTCTATAACAGGACTCTTTTGTTTAAAGTGAGTAACAAACAAAAACCTTGAATTATTCTGAGAAATGGAGATAAAATACTGGTTGCATAGGACACAAGTATTGTCCAAAGCTCATAACATCTCTTTGGCAGGCTCAAACTCAGTTTGAAAATTCATAATTATTCAGTTTAACAGAGGGAGAAAGGAAACTGAGGGCATGTTTACTTGTTGCAGCAGTGCAGTAGAACAAAAATTCCAACTTTTGAAATATGACCTTTGTGGAGTAAATCTCGTCTCTCCTACTGATGGGCTATGGAATTTTGGGCAACTAACTACATTAGTTCGTTTTTATGCTGCTGATAAAGACATGCCCAAGACTGGGTAATTTATAAAGAAAAAGAAGTTTAATGGATGCACAGTTCCATGTGGCTGGGGAGGCCTCACAATCATGGAGGGAGGCAAAAGGCACATCTTACACGGCAGCAGGCAAGAGAGAATGAGAATGAAGTGAAAAGGGTTTCCTCTTATAAAACCATTAGATCTTGTGAGACTCATTCACTACCTTGAAAAGAGTACAGGAAAACTGCAGCCCCCACCGCCCCCTCCATGATTCAATGATCTCCCACCAGGTCCCTTCCACAACATGTGGGAATTATGGGAGCCACAATTCAAGATGATATTTGGGTGGGGACACGGCCAAATCACATCATTAACCTAACCTCATTAAGCCTCAGTTTTCTCATCAGTAAAATGGAGCTAATCATGACCACAGTAAATGAGATTAAATTCATGACTCAAATGAGGTCATCAAGATTCACTTCCCTTTTTAAAATATCAATAATTCTTTTTATTTTATGTGGTATACATTTAAGAGGTACAAGTATAATTTTATTACATGCATATACTGTCTAGCAGTGAAGTACTGGTTTTTAGTGTGTCCATCACCCAAATATTAAACAGTGTACCCATGAAGTAATTTACCATGACCCCCCCACTTCTATCCCTCAACTTTCCAAGTCTCCAATGTGTACTGTTCCATACTCTATGTTCATGTGTATACATTGTTTAGCTCCCACTTACTTCTTCTTTCCACACTATCTTTTGCCATGCAAGCTTTGTTCTTAGGATCCCAGGTGATCCCAGCTTCTCCAGCCTTCCCCTAGGTTAAAGTCCAGCTAAAATTTAGGCACATCCCCTAAAGTCCTCATGCTGTTTGACTGGTGTGGGGAATGTGGGTGCTGACTGAAGCCTGAGAGTACTCTTCCATCCGGAATCCTGGAGTCACCCTTCCCAAACTTGCGGATAGAAAATGGAAATGATAAATGCCTAGGGTGATGGATATCCCAATTACCCTGATCTCATCAGTATACACCATTTGCTTGTATTAAAATATCACACATATCTCCTAAACATGTACAACTATTACATACCCAAAATAATTAAAAATGAAAAAAAAGCGAAGTGATGGATTCCCAAACAAAACAGATAGCTGTGACCAGAAGATGAAAAAATGAATACACTCGAGGCAAAGCAGTTATTTGCCATGTTTGCCCAGCTGAAAACCAATGGCAACATTGTCAGTCATTCTTAACCTGGGCTGCAGATTAAAATCGCCTAAGGAGTTTATTTAAAAAAAAAAAAAAAGGATGGCTGATAACTGGGCTTCAGCCTCAGAAAGGTTAAACCAAACTCCCTGACTATGGGAACCAGACAGTGGTGGTCTTGTAAATGCACTCAGATGATCCTAACGTTCAGCCAGGCTTGAGAACAATGTCTATGTGTACTTG